TATTCCAATTGTTTTCGACAAAGACGTTGATCTTGGTTTTCTAACAAAAACTTGAACTTTACTGTCAATGGGTAGTTGAATTGTCTTGTATGTATAACTTTTTCTTACCCTTTTTATGTTCGTAAGGAACCCTTGAAAGCTTTTTAAGATCTCGTTGACCGGCCAGAGTTGATGTCGACGTAATTTATTTTATTAGTTTTAGTAGAAGTTCGTCGTAAAGTAAGTTTAGTGTTGGACGGATTTGAGTTGCTTTCTGTGTTTATTAATTGAATACCTAAACTCTTATAAAGTTCTTGGTTTTTTAGTATAAGCTTAATTTTCAATAGAAGCTTGTAGGTTTTTTAAATATTTTTTGTCACCAATAAGACAAGTCACTAATGCATTTAAAATCTATATTTCTACAGTTTAGTTCATATCTTATACTATGGTATAAAGCGGAAGAGTTTGTTTTTTTGTTTGTTTACTTGAACGCGATAATCTCCGTAACTACAAGCCTGATTTGAATCATTATTTTTATGTTGGATAGCGCATTTATCGAGGATGGCTATAAAACATTACGCTACGACCAATAGGTGCTGAGCAGAGCGTGTGAAACCGTGCGGATGTACCTAGTAGTTTATAAAACTATAACATTTTTACAAAACAATAACATTTTATTCAGTAGTAGCGAAACTGAATTAAAACTCTGATTTGTGAGGAAAAATTGTGTATGCCGCTATTTTCACACAATTCAATTTCAATAACGGTAAAACAAGTAGGTACACCTACTCAAATCTTAATTAAATTGATTTAATCTTCGGTAAAGTAAACCTAATATCAGTAATATTCCGAATACAAAAAGCTGATAAAAGAAATACTGGTCTGTTTGCCTGAAGGATCTAATCACAGAGAACAAACAACGCCCTATATTGTCCCGGTCATACATTCAATCTCATTCAACAGTCAAGCACAGACCGAAAATACTTTGGGTAACATTGTGTGCACAGATTAAATACCATTCTTTCATTCGTTCCAATCAATCAATGATATAAATCGGAACTTACTGATTGAATAAATATAAGTTCTAAATTGATTGCTTTGCCAAAACTTTTCCTAGTACAGGCAACTCTTTAAAAGGCGACTTAGGTGGTGAGTTTGGTATTAACTTGTTGATAACAGCTTTTTGGAAAATATTATGATGTCTAAATAATATTATTGTAGTACATTAAATATTCTATTTTTTCCATTTATTAGCCATTTCCGAAAGCACATTCAGCATGATTGAATATAACAATTGGTGTCAACGACATTTTCCCACTTTAACTTTGTCTACCGAAAACATCAAATTGTTTCGCTATACGGCTTTTGAATTCTTTATAATTTTCCGATGTGAGCACAAGTTTCACGGCGCCTTGAGTTTTTCTTTTCCAACTGCAAAAAATGTTTAACAAAATGCGAGGGACGCCGCAAGCTCTTCACCATTCTCCAAATGTTTAAGTAATGATGCCATACACCGAAAAAATGCGTGTAAAACATGTTTGGTTTTTTCCTTTGACACTTCCAGTATCCAAACTATGTCAGTTTTACTCTATACTTCAATCTTCTATTGAATCTATGAATGCGTTTTATTTGTGTTTTTATCATTTTATCTGTATCCTTCAGTAAATTTTTGGTGTAGCTCAGGCAGAATTTGTTTGCCTATCAAAAGAAGAAAGACGATGCCTGATGAATATTAAAAGATAACGACGACATATTCTATGTAATTGCAAAACACTATTTTACATAAGCTTCAGAGGTAGACCTGAAATGGTAATTATAAAAGCAATATAGAAATTAATTCGTTTACATATGTAGATACATAGTCTCTTTACTATGCAGATTCGTCTCGTTTGGAGTTTTGACCCAATCTTTCCTCATTCTTTTTAGAATAATTAACTTAATTATTTTAACGGGATAGGTCCTCAGCTACCCGACGGAGAATAGATCCCGACAAAGAGATTATATCAGATGGCAGCATTCAGCTTCCCATTTATAATCAGTAAACAAAACGGACTTTAAATTCATTGAAAAATACGTGGTTTTCTCTGTAAATGGAGCCTATTTCCGTCCTTCGTTTTCATAATGGAAACCTTGCTTACAGACCTTGACATAGCCAGAGTTTTATATTCAATCGTTTTCAATGAAGCTTAGTTTAGCGACTTACGTACCTATTACCTGTTCAATAAGTGTGACAGTTCACTGCTTCACTGTAAAGTTAATGTTCAATAATTTTGCAAACTTTTCTTTTCTCTTGCATCGCCCCAAGTTACAAATAACAATTTAAACTATGCAGGTAACAGCTTAAAAAACTATTACACTTTCTTCTCCGCAATTTACGACCTTAATAATAACATTTTTCTGTTGAGATTCCCTTGTAATTAACTCATTTAGAAACATTGCTATGTAAAAAGAAAACGACGAGACTTAAATAGGATCTTCTTGTTACATTTTAATTACTAGTAGTGTCGTCTATTTTTAATGTTCCCATAATTAGTTGGAGGAGTTTTAGTGTCGTGATGCGGCGTCGCGAGTAGGTGCATATTGAGCGCTCGTAATTTCCATAATGGATTTCTAGCTTACATACGCTTTACATCACATCACGACATTTTACTTGGAATTTGTGTTATCTTTGACTAATTGCCCAATTGAAGTTGATATTGTGACTTGGTAATGGTTGTTTTTATTACAAAAACATAACATAACATCACGCATTTTATTCCCGTAGGCGTTGGTACTTTTCACTATTTTATGTTATGTGTCCCATGTAATAGGGGGTGAGTCTATTGCCTTATACCGGGCACAATTTCAGACTCCGTGCTACCACTGAGAATTTTTAAAAAGCCAGTAATGCTTTGCCCTACCCGGGAATCGAACTCGAGATATCTTGCCCGGCAGTCGCACTTGCGACCACCCAGCTTACGAGGCAGTCTTATTACAAAACTATGCAATCAAATGAAGAAATGTAAGTCTTAAAATAAATTTAAGTGATTGATTTTATGCGCATCGCAACTACTTCTTTATATTTATGTATGAATGTAAAGCAGATAGCAACAGCAAATTCTTAAATATACCTCTAAGATAACACCTCTGAAATACATACTACACTTTTCAATCCGCGAGATTTTATACAAGCGTAATTGATGTATGACAAACAAGAGACGAGAAATCTACATCTTTAAATAATGAGATATTACGAAACCAACCAATACGACTCTCAACATACATTAAAACCTCGATCGAATAAGAATGAATTATTCAATACATTATTTAGAACAATACTCGTAATAAACTGCGTTCATTTAATTTGAATACCGACGCAACTAAATGATTCTGTCCAGATTTCCTCCACATTCTATTATTATATTGTAACGTAAGCAATGTCGGTTTTTATTTATACAGACTTTTAAACAGCAGTTTTTAACTAATCTAAAACGTTCATAAATATAATAGATCTATAGCTGTGCTATTTATAGTTAATTGCTAGTTGCAGTGGCTCATATAGCTGTCAGGTATTACCTGCTGAAGTGGCTGCCGGTATTTACGATACGGGCAGCCGGCCGCATACATTATTCATGTACAAGGACCTCAATAAGTGTCACTGAGTCAACAACTGTTGTTGAAAAACTCAAAGGCTTCGGGAATCAAACAAATCAAGCCCAGTTTTAAACGAACTTTTCACTTTAAATCGTCATTTTCTGATTTAGCAAAAGAAACTTTAAAGTTGATACAATCTTAATTATTGTAAAGAGTGAAATATTTATAGATTCTTTTTTTCCTGAAAAATATAACAAGATAGGTACCTGGTATATGTCCGTGAATTTAGCGTCAAATACAGAATATATCTAGACGTCAAAGGTTCGGAGTGAGGCATCCGTATCTTATCTAAGGGATGTCCATAGAATGCCTTCATTATTGTGTTGAAGGCATTGTATGTCAGTTGCGTTTCAATCGCGAACTGAGACAGCGGTGACAGCGAAAACTTGTGACTTGATCATTTTCTTCATTACTTTGTTCCTGTAGAACATTCCAATTACTTATCGTAGGCTGTAAGCACATATCATAAATTCAGGAAGTAATCAGAAGTACATTATGTTTAAGATTAATCGATCTGTGTAATCAATTTAAACAAATTAAGTACTTAGAAAAATCTAAGTCTTTCTTAGAAAAATAAATTTTTTTATATACTTATCAGTAATTCGTAATAGTTAACCATTCAATAAATAAATAAATACTCTTTGATTTCAATTTACTATAATACGCTTAAGTTAAAATGCCAGTATGTGGTAGCTGCGGTGGTTAGAAACAGTATTCATAAAGATGCGGCTCGTGGAGTAGTGCGAGCGTGTATAGTACTCTGTAGCTATTGAATAGTGTCGATGTAGCGGCCTCGCGACAACTTCTCTACTATCTGTTTCGTTTCCCGCCTGCGAGACAATTTAACTTGACAACGTGGACTCTACAACAAAGGCTGCTCGCTCTATTTAGCGCTCAGCCTCTACCAATGGGAGAGTCGTTGATATTAAACGCTTTTCTCGCGCAAAAGTTACCATAGTTTTCGTTCAACAAAATCGTAAGAACCTAATTGATTTTTACATTTCGTGGGCAGACACATTATTTTTGTCAAATGTCCACTAACTGACTTTGAAAGTTAAATAAAGTTAAAGTAGTCTTTTAAGAAAATTCATTTTACATTTACAAATCTCGGACTAGTCTTCTGCTCGGGAACAGATTTGCCAGTTCAACACCCGAATAAACATTTATTCGGAGTTTAGCGTTAAAAAGGAAGTCCAAACACCCTTAATCGTGCAAATACTGAACGTACGACATTCAAGTGAGACGTTACGTCGACGTTACCGTGTGATGTGGAGGAATATTTGTAAGCGTTCTTTGTATGATCGGGAACGAGTGTAAACACGGGTGCGCGGCGCGGCGCGGCGGCGGCGTGGCTGGCGGGGAGGGACACGGCACTCGGGCGGCCGCCGCCGCGCGCTCCGCCCGCACCATGTCGGTGCGCGTAGACCATCGCGACCGAGACAGGTTCTCGAGGCATTCTTCCCGAGCTTCCGTCGATCTTGCTTTTCCAAGCAGCTCTACACGAGATCACTCTTTCCGCTCGGTGCATTCGGCCCGCGTGCCGCGAGCAGCTAGCGATGACTTGATGGTGCCTGTGCGCACGCTACGGTCGGCTTCATGTCGCGTGGCTCCCGGTGCGCCGCATCGCCTACGCCGCCACCACTCGTCGGCAGCAGAATGCGAGCGCGCGCGCCGCTCTCGCAGACACACACTCGAGCTTCCCAACAGCCGCGGTCCGAGCGTTCGCAGCCGGTCTCCAGAGCCACCGCCGCCACCGCCAGAGCCCGAAATCCCGCCAGAAGATGCCAGCAAGGAAGCTCGTCGGCGGCGCGTCGTGGCGGCCGTGGCAGCATCGTTCTTCGCGCTGGCGCTGGCGTCAGTCCTGGTGGTGGTGGTGACGCTGACTCACAGCTCTGGGCATCGCGCACACAACCAAACGGCCAAGTACTACACGTCCTCCGTGCTGCACCATCCTCTCAGTGAGCCCCGTTCATGTTGCCCCACCGTCGCCCCTCCCGCTTCGCATGCGACTGTCTCCGACCCTGAGTGCCAGGGGCTGCGAACGTCGCCGAGGCGGCTCGACTGCACATCACCGCCACCATATGCGGTATATAATATTCAGACAATACACACATGAATCAGTTATGGGGTCCTCGAAGACAAAACACCGAGTGATTCTTTGAACCACCGATATCTACAAACTTCTAGCAAAAGTTTCATAAAAGATATGGTGAAACAATAAATAAGCAAAGAAGGTAATGATAGCAGAATGTCTGTCATTATTACCTTCTGCATAAATATTTGTTATGAATATCGACAATTACAAATATTAAATTTGTCATCAATTTTGGTGGTATTGAAGGGAATTACTTGGTTTTTGTCACATTGGGACTCGGTACATACAGGCCACACATGCTACGCACGTTCGCAACCCCCTTTCTGCATGATTAGTTATTGTATAATATAGATGTCACGTGTTTGTGATGGTTAATGTTACTGTTGTATTACTTTTAATTACAGCGTATCTGGTGGCAAGTTCATAAATTATGACTTGCCACAATTATTATGAACTGTCGAAAGCATACGACGCGCACAATGACGTAGTGCTGAAATAATTTTCGTATCTGTTCGTAATTATAAGTCTATATCATGTTATTTACGTAAATTTCAACTATAAACCATAACTTGAAGAATACATACGAAGTTAATATTTTATTGATGTTCGTCTAAATCATGTTAAATTCTTTTCCCATTCGTCGTTTCATAGGAGAGTCATTTCGTTGCATGATAATGATGATAAAAAGTTTAAAATTGTTTAAACTGAAATCTCATCAGACTTTACTCTAGGACTCCCATTCTTTTACGGAGAAATGGAGCCTTTATAATTTCGACGAATCTGTTCACAAATTGTATTGACGTACCTATTTATATTAGAGACCTTATAATAACAGTAACACTGTCATACTTTATTTTGATAAAATATTAATTAAATTTCATTTGTAATAACATCTAGACTAGTTTTCAGAAATAACGAGTCACAGCGAAAATAAATACGAAACAATATTAAAACAATGTATCTCGATAGTTGCGTGTGGTATTCAAATGTGTATTTGGTGATACGCATTCGTCCTAAATAAGTAGGTTCTAAAGGGTTTTACTGCGATATTAAACGCGTTATAAATAAAAAATATCGACATCGCCTAACAAACATGATTTACATAAGTATAACTCGATCTAAAAAGTGTTGAAAATAATAAATCTCATTAAAATCACAATATCTTGTATGAAAAATGTCAAATGTTTTACAATATCTTGTAGGTGTCCTTAACGTAATCGTAAAATAGCCACCAAAAGAATGTATGAAATAAAAACACACCACTGACACTGAAAGTAATAATAACTGTTGATAAACGAAAGTATAATCTTAAAAAGGTCCTTTTGAAACATTAGCGGTAATAATAATGCCATCTTAAAAGCTTACTTCTCTTTCTTGTCATAGCATTTAGATTTCCTTTCACAAAAAGAATAAAATGACCTATTAATCAAAGTGGGAGTCATAGAATATTGCGTCCTTTTCGAACAGTTTTAATGAGGACAAAGTCGGTATTGGCTTTTGAAAGAAAATATCATAAACATTACCTTATTTTTATCAAGTCAGTAAAAAGTTTTGGCCCTTATACGTATACTCTAGAACTTGTTTTATTGTACTGAAGAACAAAAGTACATTAAATGAGTATAAGTATGTACTAAACTATGTATTTATCACAATGAGTTTCTCAAGATCACTTGATTCGTGTTCCGATATAAGTTCTACTCATGAGACTGGCTAATATATTCTGGTACAACATAAGACTTAATGTTTCTGCCACATCTACATTATGTATGAACTCGATCATGATTCTTTTTCGACCGCAAAAACTTTTCGGAGAACACATCACTCATGTCAAAACTTATTATTAGGTATATAGGTCATCAATAGAGACGCCTGGCTTTTTGACTTTCTTCGTGTTTCACGGATCAACTCCCGATTATGGTTTAGCAGTTTTATTCTAACATTTACAGGGGTAAATGGGAAGGATGTCATTTAATCGAAAATATATATTTGACTCGTATATGTGTGGTTTCAAGTGATGTACACAATTACATATCAATTTTCAATTTCTATCTTTTAAACATAAATTAGTCATTTGCCTATATTTCTAAAATCGTAGCCATAGTCTGACGAACGTTATATAGGTCCTACCTACGCACCGTACGCACGTTAAAAACCTGTTTATATTAAAAAGTTGTTACAGATTTACATTGTCTTAATCGCGGATACTGCGGTCATTTTACTACTTATTTATATTTCCTAGAACATTGTTTAACACGACAATACAGTTTAACACAATGCATATTTTCGCCAAGTTATTTCTGGTAATTCCGTTTTCTATAATCGGGTCCGTAATATTCAATAGCAAAATTCTGGCACCACTACAACTGCTACGCGTTGTAACTATAACAGTTTCCCTGTAAACTGGTTATTTAAACCGTTATTTTAAAAGCACATGTTCAGTACTAGCCGTTTATAGGTCGTTTTTGATGGTTATGTGACGCCATTTAATGTGAAGTACAAAAACGGCGGTATAATCTGTGTGTTTGCGAAATGTCAGATTTGTTCACGAGAATTACTCGAAACAATACAATAGGTGCGTGTGTTAAGAGACACTGAGTTTTAAATGCATTTTGATTTCCACCATTTCCCGTCAGCTGTAATAATCCAAAATCGTCGCCGAACTCATAAATCTGTAACTGACGTGTAAAAGAGCGCTTGGAAATATATTTGCTGAATGAATGGTTTGATTTATGAAAATGTGATTTAACAGAATTACAAGGTTTCCTTCCGTAAAAATTTGAGAGAACAAATGACAATTCATGCAAGTGTAAATTTTTGACGGATGCCTTTTTTGTTCTGTTTTGAAGTCGGGATTCTTTCGGCTTGCTAATATTATGACTTCCGTCGTATTCATTAATTTAGATACTATTAAAGCTATGAATTTGATTAGAGAAAAGCATCACTGAACATTAAATTATAGATATGTATCATTTGCCTTTACAAAAAAATAAACAATGTAACATATCATATCTATCGCTAAAAAACAAAATTGTATATACAAAAATTTCCATATTTCGGATTCTAGACCAACGTAATATAAGGAAATGTTCGAGTCAGCTAAACCAAAATAAGACCGTTATTGCATGACGTCCAGTTCACGTCTACGGGCATTGAGAGTTTCCAATAATAACTGAAGTATTCGCCGTGGTTTGTGGACTTTGTTGGACTGGCCTGATAGCGCGGTGCAAGCTAAATATTCACACTATTATTACTACGAGTATCTGTCTTCAAAGTTCAAACATTGAACTCAATCGAGTTCGGTTTGATGCAGTTTTGTTTACACTTACGGCAACTACAGATTTACGCTCTGTGTATAACTGAGTGCTACCTTGTGTAAATACTCGTATATTGGTTGTATTTCTTGCTTACGGATGAGTAACAGTGATTGTGAACTATTTAAGTTTTAGTTTACGATTATGAAAGTACTTTTAAATAATATAATAATATATTTCAAATAAATAAGTGTTACGTTTGGGCTCACATTTTTATCCCAACCGAGTAGATACAAGTCGTAGACAGATACCTATGTATGTACATACGTAGACACGGCGATATAAATATATATGTATATAGTATGTTCGTACTGTTCATACAGAGTGTTGTTAATTAGTAACTGATCAAATTCAGAGTAGAAATGATCGTTGAAACCGCAAATTCTAAGAAATAAAATAATTAAGTACCAGCTTACAATAACATTTAAATAATTTATCTCGTAATGGCAAACCGATGTCTGTCTGTACAGGCAGTTAAAATGGGCTTTAAAGTACGTTTATTTTACATTACAAAATCTCAAATTCTTACCAAGTTGTTGGAATGTTTTAGGGGAGTTCGACATTTTTGCTCTGGGTAAAGAAAATTCTTCTTTTGTTGTTTGAAACCATTAGAACAAAAGCAAATTAAAAATTTAGTAGAAATAGATGTATTTAAAATTACTATAGTGCAGGTTTTAGATTATTTTTTGCAAGGTCCGTCTCTATTTATAATGAAATTCAGTACAAATTTGGGACAATTTCGTTTCTTTTGGAAATTTCAAAATTTGCTTGTAACTATCTGGATTTAGAGAAACTTAAGAATGTTTGTTTTAAAGCCTTGATTTCTACAGAAAAAAATTTTTCGCGAAACTTTATAAGCAGTTATATTAACTCATGAATATTTGCAACGTATCTATGTACCTATTGTAAAAAGAGAATTATACACATACTTACCTAGACTTAAGTAGATAGATAGACGTATAAATTATTTCTTACTCGAATTTTCCTAATAAAGTATAATATAAAAAATGTGTCGCCATAACGATATAGGTCTTTTCATAACCATGTTTCTAACTTGACCAGTCCCTTCACTAATGCGATGCGAAATGGCCACCTTTTGTATAAAAATGCATATCATTCATCGATGAATAACAATTTGTATACAACTTGGAATCGAAAAGTCACACCAGAAAGGTAGCGGTACAGAACCCTCGAAATGTAACAAAGAAAAAGGTTTGAATGAATATCATCTCAAAAATTTTTCCTTACCGCGCATAATAACTTCAGAAGAGGCGGTTTCCCTTTTTTACACTTTTATAATAATGGAAAATGGCGAACACAAAATGTAGGTTTAAACCATCCATCCAGTATCCCCGTAGGCATCCGACATTAATTATAACTTATTCCAACTTGTTTTCAAATATGTAAATAGCGAGTAAACACGCTGTAGGATTGGGAATGATAGCTTGCGAAAATAATACGCGAAAGTAAATCATCATTTGTATTGTCTGGCCTGCGTTTAGGTCTGCTCCCGGTAT